ATCCCCGCATCCGCTCGATCTCTTTCACAACTCCAACAGTCCTCCCCTCCGTCGTCTCCGTTCCCATGGTTCCTCTCAGTCCCTCCTCCTCCGCCATCTGTCGCCTCTCAGCCGTACCGCGGCGCGCGCAGTTCAGGCGTCTCGGACCCATCCGTCTTCCGCTCCCGGCATCCCAATCGCTGTACCGAATTTCTGACCTTCAACGCTATACGCTGCCGACCTCGAACGCATCAATGTCAGCTCGCCTCCCTCTCTCTATCGAGGACCCCTCCATTCGCGCCTCTCGCTCGGGCTCTCTCCTTCGTTCCATCGCGAACACCTTCGGACAGTCACTCCACGTCCGCTCCTCTCGGCCTCGACCTAACCTCCACTCCGTACACAATCCGGGTCCGCCGCAAACTCCCTCCGTACAATCGTCCTCCTTCGCCACTCGCCCCTCGACGTCTCGCCTCCGTCCTCTATCGACCAATTCCCGCTACACTCTTTCGACTCTTCGGGCTTCCCACTCCGTCTCTCGGTCCTCACTCCCGCTCCCCCAACGCCCTCTTCGCATTCTCATCTCACGAGCTGCCCATCCCTTATCCCGCGCGGTCGTCTCTCGTCCCCTCATCCATCGCTCCTATCTTCTCTCCTGTCCTATCCCTACCTCGACTTCTTGGCTCCCTGCAGATTCGGCCTCTCCCTCGTCCTCCCCTCCATCGTCCTGCCTTCGCTTACTACATCTTCGGTCGACACCTCACTCACTCAATCATCTCGGACTCCCACTCTCCTCGAGCTCTCGCTCGCATCCAACTCGCCATCCCCGTCGCGCCTCGCTCCCCTCTCTCCTTATCAAACCTTCCTCTCAACATCCTAACGCCGTCCAATCGTTCAACTCGTCCTCCTACTCCATCGTGCCACATCCTATATTCTCAACCTCGCCTCCTCGCCACCGTCACCTCACCTCCATCCCTCGCATCATTCACGCAGCATCTCCCCCACCCGATCAAACTCGTAAATCGCTCACATCGCCGTCCTTCACTCCGCCTCCTCCTCGACGATCAATCGCCTCTCCCCCAAGTCGCCAACATTCTATCCTACTCCCCCATCGCAGGAATTCTGCGCCCTCCACGCCCTGACCTCCTCCACCTCATCGCGCATACTTCCTAATCTCTCCGCTCCTATCCGTTCGGCCCTTGCTTCCTTCGCTTCGGAATCTCCTCGCTTCCCTCCTCCAGCCTCCAGTATCGCCGTAACATCACTCGCTTTCACCTCCCTCCCACTCCTCCCCTCCGCACACTCACCTCAGCCTCACTCGACCTCACGTCTCACTCTCCATCGGCTCACCTTCCGCTCGCACTGATCCGCCCTAAATCGCCTCTCCACTCCCTCCCCGTTTCCTTCCTCATTCTGACGCCCAATCCTTTTTCTTCCTCGCTCAGCCTTCGGCCTATCCCCCCCCGCTCTCTCGTCCCCGGCATTTCGCGCTCACGCACCTCCCACTCGCTAATCCGTTTCTCCGCATCGCTCGACTTCAAAATCCTCCCCACTCGCTATCCTCCCTCCTCATACAGTGAATCCATTCGGCTCTTTTCACCTCGCTCCCCATCCCGCTGTACGTCCGCCCACCGCGGCTCCTCGCGCCTTCCTCTCAGCGCCTCATCAAGATCCGCCTCGCCAACGCTCGCTCGCCTCTATCCCTCACTCCGTCTCCTCAGTCTTACATCGAACATCCACTCACCTCGCGCCCATCATCATCGACTCGATTCCTCCCTCCTCTCCTCGACTCCCCTCCCTCCCTCCTCGCACGGTACTCACCACTCGCGCCATCCACCAGCCGACTCGACCTTCCGACGCCCCCTTTCGATTATCATCCTCCATCCCTCGTCGACGATTCGTCTGTCGGCGCTCCCGCGCCTCCCTCCCTCCATCGCTTCCTCCTGCCTACCTCGGTTCCCTCTCAATCACGCGTCCTAGACTCCACCCCTCCCTCCCGCGCTATCACTCATCGGAATCCACCCATCGCAGACACAGTCGCTCCGCATCTCAGCCTCCTATTCGAATTCCACATCCCGCCAATCTCGAACTTCAAGGCTGCCCGTCTAATTCTTCTGTCATCGCCCCTTTCCTCGCGCCACGCGCCTCCACTCGGGCCACATCGCTCGTACCTTGTCCTCCCTCTCGGCTACGGTCACCGCTCCGCTTCGACGCGCCAGGCGCGTACACTACCCTCTCCCTCGCTAGCTCGTAACTTCCAACTCGCTCCCCGCGCCGGCTCCGCTGCTCTTTCCTCGTCCATCGGACTCGGCTCGACCTCGGATCTGCCTCACATTTCGCCTCCATCGACCTCGGCTCTCCTATCCGCTCGGAGCCTCACATCATCGTTACATCCTCCTCCTCTCCGACTCCATTCGTCGCTCCTTACGTGCTTTCGTCTCGAAGTCCACTCGCCACCTCGGACTCCCCTCGCATCTCACCATGCGTCTCGCCATAACTAAGGTGTTCATCCAGGCAGAGGCTGCACTGACCAAATCTTCACTTTACGTCGGGTACTCAAACACTGCCACCAGTATCGGCAGCACACGTTGATTTTCGAGCTGGCTTTGACTCAGTTGACCGTGAAGCACTTTGGAGAATCCTACTTGCCGATGGTGTGCCGGTTAAACTCGTTAACTTGATGTGATCATACTACCGTTGCACGAAGGCCCGGATTCGGGTCTATGGAGAACAAACAAAGGAAGCTGACATCAATACTGGAATTCGGCAGGGTTGCTCACTTTCTTCAGTGCTATTCAACTTTGCGGTCGACTAAGTTATGCGTCATGCCTTAGAGAGCTATCGTGGTGTTAAAATTAATTAGGACTTCTGGCTGTCAGACCTGGAATTGCTCACGATGTCGCTATTCTTGCAGACGATCCCATGTCACTACAGTCCCTGTTAAGTCAGCCTTTGTGATCGGCCTTGGAAGTATCATCAGCAAGACGAAGTAGTTCTCATCGTCAGCCACAAAATTAGATCCGTCGCTCACCTTACATGGACAATGTATTGAGTCAGGTCCTGAATTCAAGTACCTCGGATCCATTAGTTTCTCCAATGGTCAGCCTGCATCCGAAATCCGGAGTCTTATTGACAGCACTGTAATAGCCATTTTACAACAGAGAAACAGATTGTGGCGTAGTACGGAAAGTAGTCTGTGAGCGAAAATCCGAGTATTCTCAACAACCATTCGAGCCATATTACTCTATGGTTGCGAAGCATGGCCGCTGCGATCCGCAGACACCTGGAAGCTGGAAGCCCTCGACCTCTGGTCTAAGGCTTATCTTGAAAACGCAGTGGTATGAGCGTATCATCAATGACGCAGTTCGTAAGCGCTGTTACGGTCTTCCGAAGCTTTCAGTGCACGTTTAACGCCGCAGACTTCAGTCGTCCGGTCAGGCCCTCCGCAAACCAGACACTGACTTCACTCAGGCCGTGGTTTCGCCTTCGCCTTGCCAAGGTTGATGTCGTCGCCGTGGTGATCGATTGAGAAGGTGGATCGCTACAGTTTAATCGGACGTTGACCTGGGACTACAGGTTGTGCATGGTGCTTGTCAATAGAGGAATTCTTGGATCAGTGTCTCTGTAAAGCTTGCCAATGACCGCCGCGCTTGGGCAGTTGCAAAGCACGACATGCATGAAGCCGGCTCATCCTGTCGCAGGAGTTAGCCGTGGTAAAGTATGCAAACAATGTGGTAACCCAGCGTTACAATCAGTCTGCCGTAAAGACAGATACCCCAGTTGAATCGAAAATTACCAACAGAGGCTCATAGTCAGTAAGAAGTATAAACTTCCTTCCTTTCCTTCTTTATTGTGAAGACTATCACCAAGGTTTCCTTCTTTATCTGGCCGTAAGTAAGTCCCGCGGGAGATAACGTACTGACTGCATGTGCAAGTATGTTTCTGAGTCATCTGCGAACTCGTGAGTCATGAGTGCAACCATGCCATAGTTCGAGGCGTCTGTAGACACCACATTCCCCAAGATAAGGTGGTAATGTGTCAGCAGAACGTCGGAACATAGCAGCCTTTTCACCTCCTCAAATGATGGCTGGTATTCTTCGGACTAGTTCAAGCATTTAATCGTGGTCAATAGATCATTGAGTGGAGCACACAGGCCATTCATGTGCGGTAGGAACGGGCTTGACCGGCGTATGGATCTTAAAAAGGATCTCCCTTAATAGAGTGTGGGACCACCGGATTACGGTTCAGTGAACCAAGATCAAATGTATGTAGATGCGATTGTCTGCGACCTGACGACATCGGATAAAGGTAAACATCATTCAGACACCCATATTGAAACAAAGCCTTCCTTGGGAGGTACGAGCTCCGATTCAGCTGGAACTGTGAAACAACTAACAAATAAACAAACTAACTAATGAAAGGGGTGATGAGTGTAACCCGTGTTTAACTGAGGTGGATGGTAGATAACATAGCGTTATGATAATGATTATGTGGAATGAGCAAGTGGACACAAGTTTGATCAACAAACGATGAGATGTGTAGGAAAATCTCGAGTAATGACTGTTTCTCATCACACGCATGGCAGAGGGTGAGGAATACAGACAGTACGCCGAAACTGAGAGAAAGGGACGGAGGCAAGTAAATTATGGCGACAGGCCCAGTTAGCTTGAGGACCGGCTATATCCCATACCGCTCACTTAGCCGTCACTTGGACGATGTCTTATTGCGGATGATACCCAAATGCTACATGCAAAGCTCCCATCAGTAATCGCTGACAAGGATAGAGAGAGCTACTTTGCATTTCGCAGTAATAATTACGGTGTGGAAATGCTGCTGGAACTGTTCTTCGAACACAATGCATTAAGACTCGTAGCTCTGGGAACGGGACAAATTAGCGGCACAAAAGCGATAGTTAAACATAGTAATTTGATCCTACTGAAGAGATATAAGGGATAAAAGATAAGGGAATATGATATAATATCAGCAGATGCATCGAGTTAGTCTAAAACAAAGAAATGAGGTACCTTGATCGTTGTGGTGTTGCGCACCTGATACATGCAATCGCAATACGGGCAAAGAGCTGAATCTTTGCCAAGCATGAAGGCGCAAGTGCTGAATAAAAAAGTATACGTGAGGTTCATCCGAAAAAACAGGCAACATACCATTGGTCTGCAGCGATTGACCTCACATAAATTTTACCAATGGGCTTGGTACCATTATGAGAGCCGGAACGGTCGACACAAGCGCATTTGCAACGGGCATCTTCGTAGGTTGCCTAAATTCGACGGTTTCATATTCGTTAACTGTGTAAAGCAACGTACAATGCTGACACGAGCAGCGAAAAGCAAGACCAAGAAAGAGCATAAAATGCTCCGCATTGGTTGATTGCAGGTCATAGCGGGATTAACACATCGGAGTGCAAGAGGTTGCGACACCTGTGGCAGGCAGGAAATATGCTATCGCGTCGCGTTCCGATGACAGCACAGTAGTGCCGTTCAGCTGAAATAAAATATGGAAAAAACAGGGGAATAAGAAACTGAACTACTGTATAAGCACGCTGCTCACTCGGTTCCGTCGCATAAGGAAAGCCATGGAAACAGTAAACAGGGTTGTTGTGAGTCGGCTTAAGTGCCACCTCACTAAAGAGCCGCCCATGCGGTGAAAGTGTGGTTGCGAAATCAGCACGTACCTCGAATCCTTATTTTTGGCTCAATGACAAGCTGTGTTGTTCTAATTATCCCCTTCGAACTGCCATCATTCATTCATTAGTATGACCATTCAAATTATTATCTCTCGGTGGCGTAATTCAAAGCAGTTGGATTTATCATACGTAAGGACATGGATCACGGTTGACCAATGAAACGAAGCGGTTAAATGCGAGCCACGTGAAGTACCCCAAATGCAAGCGATGAAGTTGCGCTGCGCGGCTGAAAAGTTCGCATGAACACAAGACCCCATTAGGGTGCTTAAAAATGGAAAGAGGCCGCAAGTGGCGGTAAGATGGATCGAGATTAATGTCAAGGTCTAGGGCCGGCAACCACTGAAAGTAGTGCATGTAGAATAGAGGCACAGAAAGCAATGGTGCTAGCGGATTGTAGTAATAGTTAGTGTTGTAAAATGCGCCAGAAGTGGCACGGGCGGAACGAAGAATGCAGTGGAAATGCCAGGGGCAAAACCGGATGGAAGATTAGTAAACGCGGTTAGCCACTTCAATACGATAACCAAGTTGCAAATATAAAGAAGACTAACGGCAAAAGTAGATGTGCCGTTTGAACCCACACCTTAATCCTTTGCCCCATAAAATTCCGAGATTAGTGGCACGAGTTTGTCTGGATCCTTGTGATGAACAAAAATTCAGTCGTTCGAATGAAATTAATGTTGTATGCATCGATTGCTGGATAAGTGCACACAAAATGTCATGACACTTGATACTCAGCCCATATGTACCAAAATGATCAAGTGAGTGGTAGATGGTTCCATCAAGATAAGTTAAATAGGAAATTAGGGCCAGATAATCGATATGCTCACACATTCAACTACGAACCATCAAAATGAGAGGCGGTACCATAGATTGAAATGATTGGTAGGGCCTGCAACCACTGGATAATAATAATAATAATAATAATAATAATAATGTGTCACCTGTACGCCGTAACGGCGCTTCGCTGCTGCGCGACCACCACCAGTCGCGCGCGGGCTGAGTATACCGCGAGGACGCCCACCCCTACGCGGATTCGAACCGGTGACCTTATGGTTGCAAAGCAAACGTGCAGACCACTCGGCCACCGGCCGACACCACCGGATGCAATGCAGGTAAAATAGATACACAAAAAGTAGTAGTCGTATCGCATAGTAACAATAGTAGTTATTGTTGTAAAACGCGCCAAAAGTCCTACAAGAAGTAATTATCAACGGCGCCTTATCTGGTGCATCGAGCAGAGTAGGTAGGAGTTTAGATGCCACTGCTCAATCCTTCTCATCTTCTTATTCTCCCCCATGCGCATTTTCATCCTTATCGTCCCGCTCTAAACCCATCTGTATTCGCCCTTGCTATCAATACCCTTCAATTCTTAGCTATGCCCCATCTTGCTTCAATGCTCGCTTGTCTGCTAGCCTTGACTCAAGCGCAATCGCAGGTCGTCGCTCTGGTCCAGTCAACAAGAACATGTCCAAGCAGATAGGCGTCACCACATCTGTTTCTCTTCAGAGTTCTCTGATCCTAAGACTGTCATGCCTCAACGTGCGCACATTGCTACAGATTGGCCAACAGGCAGCACTTACCCGAACACTAGAGACCCTATCGATCAATATTTGCTTTTTATCGGAAACCCGCCTGCAAGCTTCGAGCTCCGTGCTTACCCAGCGATCACACACATGTGACATTAGCGGCACATTCGCATTGTGTCTGTCTGGAAATGACGCAGCTTCAAGTGCCGGCGAAGCTGGTGTCAGCATAGGTTTGAGTCCCCGGGCTGAAGTTGTCCTGATCAATTGCATCCGAGTCAACAGCCGGATGTGCGCCGTTGGACTGGCTGGCTCGTTCCAGGCTTCGAAGTCGCGCGGGGACAAACGGTGCCTGTTTGTCATTGCTTCCTTACCCCTGTCGTAATGGCTCTCCGTGAACCCATAACCAAGTCTGAGCCTCGATCAACTTGCCACTGTATGAACATACACATGCCCATCTCATACCTCGTATCAATCAGAACCACTCATAAATGGGTAAATCCCATCCGATCGTTCCTTTAGTGGCATCCACCTGCGAAGGCACGGATGGTTGGCCGGTGGCCGAGTGGTCTGCACGTTTGCTTTGCAACCATAAGGTCACCGGTTCGAATTCGCGTAGGGGTGGGCGTCCTCGAGGTATACTCAGCCCGCGCGCGACTGGTGGTGGTCGCGCGGCAACGAAGCACCGTTACGGCGTACAGCTGACACATTATTATTACATTATTATTATCTACCTGATCTTTGGTCTCGGCATTTCAGATCAATTGTCCACTTAGTGCCATCAATCAGGGGAGAGCAAGCAAGAGGTCAGCCTAGAGTCACTGCATCTTGTTTGCCATGTACCACATCTTCCTTTTTTCTGTTTCTTCTTTGTTTTGATGTAACAGGTTCCGCATTGTCTTCCACTGCGTGAGAGCTTTCGGACCTGAGTTGTGACCGTAGTTGGCTTGTTCTGCTTAGGTAGTTCCTCGTCAGGGTGCAGAGACTGTCCATCGTTTTGCCATTTTGGCCGCATTCGAGAGTTTCGCTTTCTTTTCCGACTTTGATAAATTTCGCTTCCGAAGCCCTTCAGCTCTACGTATCAGATTAAAACATACTTCGTCTCTAGACGCCAAAGATTTCTGATTTGGTCCGTGTTGTAGTCGCTTACGAAGAGGGTCTCGCAGACGATCAGCCAACATTTTCTCGGGTCTCAAGCTTACGGCGGCTCCAGAAACAGCTTGCGGTAGTACTGGTTGTCTTTTAATTGGCGGTGTCGCAAGAACCCATCCCTGCTCTTCGCGATCGCACCCGTTATTTACTGATATCTCTTGCATTTCTCACTGACTTTCACTATCAAGTGAGCTAACGTTGGCCGACCGATAGTAACAAGCGAAAAAGTTTGATCGGCCTAACAAAAATCACCAAATCTCCCGAATATTTTAGTAAGATCCGGTTCTTGGTCATGAAGTCAGAAGTCCTTAACTTCTAATATTCGCCTCGCATCTTGGCCGATGGTTTCTACGCCCTCCAGTTATCCGGCAATGTGCTTCCTGTCATTTGTAGAAGAGATGGCAAGGGGAGCAACGATAGTTTATCAAATGCAACCGGGGTTTCGCATGTCAGTACCTCTGACACGTCGTAATGGCCTTCCGTGAATCAAAAACCAAGTCTGGGCCTCGATCAACATTCTGTTGTTTAAACAAACACGCGCTCATTTTAAACCACGTTTCAATCAGAGCAACTCAAAAATCAGCAAATTTCAATCCATCGTCTCTCTAGTGACAACAATAGAGCTCAATTCTCGGCATTCCAGATCAATCATCTACTCGGTGTCATCGAATTGGGGCACTCAGTGAAAGTTGACTTCTATCATCAACTGGAAGAGCTGCTTCATTACGGGAAAAGTATGGATACAGTGGTGTTTGCCGGCGATCTGAACGAACTAGTTACAAAACTGTCAACTGATGAGCCGCATCTGAGCAGCCAATATTGTGCAAACATCCCGGAATGATAACGCTGAGCGGTTGCTACACCTGTGTAAGGATGCTCATCGATTTCTCTCGAGAAATAACTTCCGACACAACACCCGCAAGAGTGTGAAATGGTGACAACCAGTCTAGGACTAGTCACGTCGTCATCAACCTTACATAAGTTATGTATAGGTGGAAAACATCTCAACTACTGTGCCACAATACAGAAGAAAAGAAGGAATCTGCAACCAAGGCACGCCAAATGAGCTACCAGTAACGGATGGGCATCGTTCCGGAAATCTACCAGCCGGCTACTATACAGCAAGAAAATTTATTAAGCAAAATTTGTATTATACTAAGAAATGAGATCCCGATGGGAGGGGGAGGCTAAGAGGGATGGGGAGGGATAAAGGAACTCACAACACGAACACCACTGAGTTCAACTCCTAGCCATTACAGTAAGTGCATCCAACCAAAGTGTTCATCGTTTTTCGGGTCCCGACCAGGCAGCCGAGAGACTCCAACCGAGACCAAGGTCGAAGTAAGGGTCATCATTGCTCTCCACTAAGACATCGTTTGGCCACTCCTCTTCTTCCATCAACAACCCCGGCGCGCAAAACAACAAACGTCGCCGGAGTCAATGGGCTGGCATGCGCAACACTTGGCCCAAACATCGGAGCTTGGTGCGTGAAATAATGATGCTGAGCAGTTCAGTTGCTCTTCCTGCGCCATAAGCAAGGCCAGAAACACGCTTGATGCTCACGCCAAACTGAGAAGGCACCGATGGTGGAACGTAACTAGCCTCCCTATGTCTGCTGATGGGACAGCACACATCCGGCTACTGATTAGGATTCAAGCAACCACGGCAGCTTCAGTCTGGGGACCAAGGGCAATACCAACCACGGCTTGGTGGGCACTCGAAGCAGCATTGTCTCCAGATAGACGTAATGAAAAAGCACTTCTGGTTCCACCTGAATGATATCGTAAAGCGAGCACAGAGCTCGAGTCCTGCGGGCAGATTTCCGATAAAAAGCAGATATCGATCGAGAGGGTCTCTAACGTTCGGGCAAGTGCTGTCTGTTGACCGATCTGTGACAATGTGCGTACGTTGAGATATACCAACCTAAGGGAGGGTCGAGAGCTTCAAGTATAAGCCGATGAACTGATGTTAAGATCGACCTTTGCCTGCGATTCTTGTTGAACTGAATTCGTTCTCTGCAAGATCCGAACCCCAGCCGAAAATCAAAGGTCAACGCCTGGAAGCAAAAGCGTGTTGGGAAACCAGCTATCGAAGCGGGTACAAGTACTGTGAAATGAACGGACATTTTAATAAGTCAA